TAACTGCGGCTCATAGTATGCTGGGAAACGCAGCAGAACCAGGGTTGATCTAGGAATCTGTGAGCTGTGAACTCGCCATGTTTCTGGGTTTTCAAACAATTGATACTGTGCTTAAAAAAAACCCTCTTTGTGGTATAACTTGGGTGGAGCCCTGGTTTTAGTCTAACCCACACAATTATTACACAAGCAGACTAGTTTCTTGGTTACTCTGTCATATGGGACTTGTCCCCCTTGTCATATGGGACTTGTCATATGGGACTTGTTTGTAGGGGAAGACAATGAAAAGGTTCCTTCCTAAAGTTGGATGCTTTGGGTTAATTGCTACTATCCTCCAACTTATAAGGGTCACACCAAGAAGGAGCACTGGGCTTCTTCATCGTGTGTCGGTTTCCCCAAACAGCTTCACTTTCTATCCTGGTGCTATTGTTTTCCTCCTCAACCGGCAGTTCTCGTGCTTTGACTACCAACTACATGGCATGAGCTGGTTGCAACTCCGAGGAGAAGAAAGAACTCGTTTGCCCCGAACAGAAGTCTGAATTTTGCCCTGACGCTTTGTTTTGGGCCTCAGGTAGGCAAAAGGATGGGCCATCAACTTATAAGCAAATCAATGGAAACAGAGGAGGATCTGAACAGGGCAAGGACATTAGTATAAATGCCTATTCAATCCTAGCTAGGTGGCGTTTTTCAAACCCATATATGTGAACAATCCTGACCTGGACAGCCCAGGTCAGCCTGATTTCATCAGACATCGGAAGCTAAGCAAGGTCAGCCCTGGTTAGTACTTGGAAGGGAGGCCAGGGTTGCTATGCAGAGGCAGGCAATAACAGAAACCACCTCTGTTCATTCCTTTCCTTGAAAAGCCTTTGCGGTTGCCGTCAGTCGGCTGTGACTTGATGGCAAAAACAAAAAGTGAACAAAGCACCCTGACCTGGATAGCCCAGGCAAGCCCAGTTTCATCAGATCTCGGAAGCTAAGCAGGGCCGACCCTGACAAGTACTTGGAAGGGAGATCTCCAAAGAGTACCAGGGCCAGGATGCAGAGGCAGGTTATCAAACCACTTCTCTGAAACATCCTAGCCCCACTAGGGGTCACCAGAAGTCACCATGACTCCCAGGCTCGCAAGCACACACATACACATACAAATACTCAAACCCGCCCCCCCAAAGTGAGCAAAGCAATCGTGTCCTTTATCTCCCCACCTCCACCCCTCCAACTGAATAAGACATCCGAGGTGTGCTTTTCAGCTGCCTGAGCTGTTCAGACTGCCCCCAGTGTGGAAATCGGTTAGACACTGTAAAGCCTTGTGAACCCTTGTGCAGTGAACATTCTTGCTCCGCAGATAAGACCAAAAGAAAGTTGCGTCAACCTTTCTGAGCAACCATGGCAACTTGTTAAATTAGGTCAAGATGCGGGGGCAGATAAGAGAGCTTGAAGAAGCCGCTGGTTTGTCACCAAGTGAGGGAGACATCAAAAGCCAAGCTGGTGAAAAGCATCACCTTTTCAGCTAGTTGCTAGATACCATCAGAGAGCTGGGCCTGGCTGGGGATTATCAAAACACCCCCGCTGCCAGCCGAAAACCATCAGCCGGGGCAAAACAGTGTTGTTTTCATTCTTTCTCAATTAAGCACCTCAAGATTAACACAGTACACGTTTCAGGCACCTCGACTCAGAGGGTCTTTAAATGAGAGGCATAAGCAAGCGAGCCCGCCACAGACCATGGGAGAGGGATTTCATACCTGCCCCCATCCCAAAGGCTTGGTGAGAAGGAGGGGAAATGCAATCACTTTTGGATTTTTTGCCCTCAAGTCGCAGCTGACTTATGGTGGCTCCACAGGGTTTTGAAGGCATGAGATGGTAAGAGGTAGCTTGCCATTGCCTGCCTCCGATAATCCTTGGTGGTCTCCCTTCCAAATACTGACCAGGGCCAAGCCTGCTTAGCTCCCGAGATCTGACAAGATCGGGTTAGCCTGGGCTATCACTTCACCTCATATTAAAGTCCACTGAAATTTCTCCACCTTTTGCCAATTTCACCATAAGGCAGGGCTGGTATCAAGGGAGGGCATCTACCAAGACCACCATTCCGGCAGAATGTCCACCCCTGGACCACAGATGCATGGCCCATCACACCAGGAAATGGGAGATTGTCCCAGAGGTTTGTGATCTCCAATTTCCCCAATGGGAAGGGCAGCACCCAGAAAGGCATCATTGTGCAGCTCTTCCACACAAGAGTGATCCCCTGCTCCCTCCAGGCAGATAGATCTGGGAAGCAGTGTTCCCTCTAAGCTGAATTAGTGTGAGCTAGCTCACAGTTTTTTAGCCTCCGGCTCACACATTTTTGTCTTAGCTCAGGAAGGAGGGCTCCAGAGCAAACTGATTTATGCAGCAGCCAAGTTGCTCCCTCACAACTTTAATGCCAGTAGCTCACAAAGTAGAATTTCTGCTCACAAGACTCCACAGCTTAGAGGGAGCATTGCTGGGAAGTGGCCTTTTCCCTATCCTTGGGGTGAGGCAGAACCTGGGCTCCCTGCAGGTAGAAGAAGAGGAAGAAGAGATTGGATTTATACCCCGCCCTTCACTACCCAAAGGTGTCTCAGAGCGGCTTACAAACTCCTTTCCCTTCCCCTCCCCACAACAGACACCCTGTGAGGTAGGTGGGGCTGAGAGAGCTCTTGACAGAAACTGGTCTTTTTCAAGAACAGCTCTTATCAGAACTATGGCTTGGCCAAGGTCATCCAGCCAGGTGCAAGTGGAGGAGTGGGGAATCAAACCCGGTTCTCCCAGATTAGAGTCCGCGCTCCTAACCACTACACCAAACTGGTAGAGATGGTACAGCACAGCTCTCTCACATGAGATGCTGCCGGGAGTCCCTAGTAGGGCCATCTAGTCGAAGGGAGACTGAAGGAACTGAGTTAAGAGACTTTTGACCTGCCTTTTTTTTAAAGAAAAGGCTACAAGAAGTGCAGACTCCTTGTTGGTAAAACATGTGTTTGTTTCTGCATGGGCTGGGAGGAGACGGTATGCAAGAAGATTTGGGGGAGGATTGGGCATGAAGCCAGGGTGAGCAACGAGGGTACTCTTCCCTTGGGCTCCATAATTTTTTGCCTGACCTCTGCCACATTGTGCCAGCAGGTGGTTCTGGTGCCTTGTGATGCAGGATAAGCTGAAAGAAAACAACTGACCCTGTACAGGTCATGTGCATGCAGGCTCCCCCCACACCACCCCAGTATCATTTCTCTACACTGCAGGTCCCCCGACACCTTTCCTGGTGCCTGCCAAGTGTTTTTTTTTTTAAGTAAGCCGGGCCAGGTGGGGCTTTTGGCCAGCAAGGCTTCTTATTGGCCACTGGAGATTTCATTGGCTGTGCAGATTTAAAAAAAAAACAAAACCTGGCAACAGCCCCCACTACAGCACAAGGATCTTCACTGTGTGACTGATGGCAAGCCGGGGCAGCCATTTTGTGGCTGTCTCCACCTCTCATGGCAGCGGTTTGGTTGCAGACACATTGCAGCTGCACCCACCGCACGGTGTCAGACTTCCAAAGGTCCCCACAGACTCAGAAGGGTTGGGGACCTCTGCTCTAGATCTAGTACAAGCAGGGCTCTTTTTGTAGAAAAAGCCCAGCAGGAACTCATTAGCATAATAGGCCACACCCAACATCAGAAACTCATTAGCATTTTAGGACACACCCCTGCCAGCACAGCTCATTAGCCCATTAGGCCACACCCCCATGTTACCAGAAGTGTGGTCATCCAGCCACACCCACTTTTTGCTTCTTATTCTGTTTACCTTGTTTGTGGTCAAAACCCAGGGCTTTTTTTGGAGCAGGAACTCCTTTGCATGTTAGGCCACACACCCCTAAAGTAGCCAATCCTAATGAGTTTCTGATGTTGGGTGTGGCCTATTATGCTAATGAGTTCCTTCTGGGCGTGGCCAACTTGGGAGCCAGCCGGAACTCCGTTCCTGTGCGTTCCTGCCCAAAAATAGCTCTTCCATCCCATCCAGTCTCCTGAGAGCCAAACTAGACAGGAGCAGGTACAGAGGAGAGTGATGAGGATGATCAGAGGACTGGAGACCAAGCCCTACAAGGAAAGGCTGAGGGACTTGGGAAAGTGGTGAGCTCCCCTTCACTGGCAGTCTTTAAGCAGTGGCTGGACAAACACTTGTCAGGGATGCTCTAGGCTGATCCTCCATTGAGCAGGGGGGTTGGACTAGATGGCCTGTATGGCCCCTTCCAGTTCTGTGATTCACTAGATAGCCACGTTTTTTGGTTTCTCCACAGCCACACAGCAGCTGCAGAGAACGACTATTTTTAAAAATACACCAGAGACCATCTGGGCTCAGAACACTGCTGAGCAGGGAGAAATGGGTACAAACTTTCAGGTTCTCCAGAACTCTTCACAAGGCTGGATGTTAAACAAAAGGGGGGGGGGGGCAAGGAAAAAAATAATTCAGGGTATCTCTCCCCCAACAGGTTTTTTGTTCTTTGACATCCAACACGATGAAGAGCTCTGAAAAACTCAGCAGCTTGCATGTCGTTTGCTTTAGTAGACTCTAATAAAAAGTACAGAATGGCTTAATTCTGGATTTCCCCCCTTTGGACTGGTTTATGTTATTGATTCTAATTTTGCAAAAATTTTATATTTGCAAAATTTATAGCCCACCTTTCTGCCCTCACAGGGGCCACCAAGGCAGCTAACAAATTAAAACACAGACAATAAAAATCGGATTTTAAAACCATCCCCATGAAAAGCATTAAAACAATTAAAACCAGAGCTAAAATGTAGACAAAACATAAAAAACAGCCATTAAAAACACTGGACAGGTAGGAGGGACCACTGAGGGAATGCCAAATACATAGAAACAAAATAAGCAAGAAACAGCGACTTGCAGTTCTCCGCTATCATATATACATAACAATGTCAATGGCACTATTAATGATAAATGTTTGTCAATTCCAAACAAACTGGATTTCCAGTGTCCAACGTCTCCCAGCGATTTACCTGTGTAGCCAGCCAGGGCAGCAGCAGGGATGACAGGTTTGTCCTTGTTCATGTCGGCTCGGTCTCGCACATAGTCCTTAAACGTGCCCTTGGGCTTGTGGTTTGGCAGGGCAACCGGGTAGTCCTCCGAATCGAAGCTGTCATAAGAAGGGACACGTTGGAGACTCTGGAAGGACGACTGGCTGCTCCAGGACTGTGTCAGCCGGTCACAACTGTCGTAGCTCTCTATGCTCTCAAAGGAATCCTGGCCACCGAGTTTACCTGCGGGATGAGATGGGAACAGTTAGCATCCACGGTTTCCACAGAAACCACTGGGGGGCATTTTAATCTGAACTCTACTGCTTGGGTTTACAAAGATCATGCTTCTAGTCCCTGTTGTTCAGTTTCCCTGATCAGCATGAAATATCAGTGTACATTAACAGCTGGCTAGCAAATGTAAACTCCTTTATCTGCCTTAAGGGCCGTCCTTAATCTAGAATCACCTTCAGTCTACATGGCACAGAGATTTTGTTGGGTATTCTTAATTTTAAAGTAAATCAGCAGAGTATTAAAGAGGCAGAGTCCATGGTGTGTTTAAAAGAATAAAAGTTTACTACAACCTAGCATAGGGAAAAGGTACACAGGATATAAAATAACAGAGCTTATATGCCTACATCCTTACAGCTAGACTGAAAATGGCAGAAGAGAAGGCTTCTTCTTCTTGCTCAGAACAAAGAACCACAAGACGGGAAGAGAAGCCATAAAATGCTAATACTTGGCACTTTGGTCTCCAATCAGAACAACAAACTAGCTTTGAAATTGCCGGGCTTTCTAACTGTCTAAAACAGATTGGATACAAATAAACATGTGACTTAACAAACATCATTAACCCAGTAAATACTGAAAAGTGTTTTAATTTGTAACACCCAACAGATTTACTGGTTTTCTAACAGCCAGAGGTCATTTCGGGGGGGAACGCGGGGGAACGCAGTTCCCCCGGGTGAGGTGCAGGGGGCGGGGCACATGACGAAACCCCGCCCCCTGCTTCCGGTCGCCCCGCTTCCAGCCCTCATTCAGCCAGGAGGAGGCAGGAGAAGAGGGAGGGTAAGTTGCTTCCTCCCTGCCTCTCCCCACCCCTGCCTGCCTGGGGCCAGGGAGGGCCTTGGCGGGGCTTCCTCGCATTCCCGCTGGCCTTGCAGGTCCACCGCCGGGCTCCTGATGTCAGGGGGTGTGGCATATGCTAATGAGTTATGCTAATGAGTTCCCTTAGCTCTTTTTCTACGAAATGACCCCTGCTACCAGCTCAAGATTGGGAGGGGGCATGGCTGTGTGGCAGAGTATTTGCTAGGCATGCAAAAGTCCCAGGTTCAGTCCCAGGCATCTCCCGTTGAAAAGGCTCGGGTGACGTGAAAGACTTCCGCCTGGGGCCCTGAAGATACTGACCTTAATGGTCCAAGGGTCTGATTCAGTTTGTGTTCATGAGGACTCCCTCTTTAAGCACAGAGCTTCAAGCAGGATTAAAAAAACCAAAAAACACTTGCACTGCACTTTCCAAAATTCCTCAGTCAGGCTGTTGCTCAACCATTTGCTTCTTTACTGACAACTTAAGAGCGTAATAGGATCATTCAAGTTCACTAATTTCCCAAGCTGGGCTGTAAACAGCTGCTTGGATTGTGTAAGACCTCCTAGAGAAATTTCCACCAGCAGAGATGCTGGCAGCCCAAGTCCAGAGAGGCTCGCCTCCAGAAGGGAACGGGGAGGGAGTTTAACTGGCACATTTGCTGTCTTCGGATTTAACAGCTCCCTGGAGAATATAGGTGGGGGCGGGTGAGCATGTCTGAAGCAGCCTCTTCAAAGGCTAGAGAGCTGGATTTTTAAGTCTTGCTCATGTGAGACGAGAAGTGCCCCCAGGGAATGTAAAAAAGAAAGCCTATGTCCTTACGGTGGAACACACATTTTGCATACGGGAAGTCCCAGCGTCAGCCCCCAGCAACTCCTGTTAAAAGATCACACATTGAGCAAATCTGGGAAAGGCATCATTCTGCCTGACACCAGGAAGGATATCAGATGAGATGATTTTGGGTTAAATGGGCCAATGCTGTAACAGCATCCCGGAGGAGATGCCGGTACGCTTTGATCCCTTAACCGACTGACACCCTGGAGACCGATTTTTTTCCAAAGCTTTCATTGTTCCCCCGGAGCCAGTCCCTAAAAACAAATAGCCACTTTTGGCTTTAAAAGGAGGGGACCCCAAGCCTGCCTGGAAGTAAGGTTTATGTCCCCGAAAGGCCTGCTTCCTGATTTCAGAGGTGTGGTGCACAAGGTTGCAAATCTGCTATTTTTAAATGGTCAGTCTGTAGAACTGGGAGCAGGTTTTGACTCTTTAAGGGCATTTGGGTGAGGGCTTTTTTTCTTTTTCTTTTTTAGCTTAGAGGGTAGAACCTGATGACATGTACCAGAGGACAGGGCTTAGCTGATCAGGGTGGTATAAAATGGGAGAACACCAAAGAAGTCCCGGGTTGCCCTGCAGAAGCAGGCAATGGCAAACCACCTCTGTTTGTCTCTAGCTTTGAAAGCCCTACGGGGTCACCGTAAGTCAGCTGGGACTTTACTGAACTTTCCACTATACCAATGCCAGGAGAAATTGGAGTGCAATCAACCGCACTGGCCTTCTCTCTTAGGACCAATGTGTTGGTCATAGTGGGGGGGGAGGGGCACGTGGTACAGTCCTCTACGATGCCACCTCAGAATGCATAAGGGGCACCCTTGCTTCCTGGAAGTGATTCAACCGCTGCTCCCAGCGACTCCTGCAATTTGGGCACACCTGGTCAGGGCAGAGAGACTAGTTATGTGCCACAATGGCTGCCTCATTAGGCTGAGGAAGAAGAGATCTAGGGTCCAGGCATCACTTCTCTGGGCACATTCCCTAACCTCCCCCCATGTGCACGTGTACTCCATTTCTCCCATGCAATTGCACAAGAAAAAAGATAATGCATTTTATTTCTAAAATAGCATAAATAAAACACACTGCGGTACTTCTTGAAACTGCAATGCAGACAGGAGCTTCCTGGATACCCGGCTCCCAGTAAAGTATACCCGTTCACCCACATCATGCTAACTGCATTGGTATGAGCTTGCAGGCCTAGAGAGCTGGTGTGGTGCAGTGGCTAAGAGTGCTGGATTAGTATCTGGGAGACCCAGGTTCAAATCTTGTTCCATGGAAGCTCACTGAGTGACCTTGGGCCAGTCACAATCTCTCAGCCTAACCTACCTCACAGGGTTGTTGTGAGGGTAAAATGAAGGTACGGAGACCGATGCAAACCACTTTGGGTCCCCACTGGGGAGGAAAGTAGGGTACAACTGCATTAAACAAAACGCATAAATAAAACAAAATCACCTGGAGTGTCTTGGGTGCAGCCACAGGATGGCCAGAAACACACAACTATGGGTAACGTTTAAATGGGAGACTCGGAAATAGGACATGTTTTTAAACCTTACCTCGGCTGGCGCGCCCCATGCACATGTTGTCTGGAGTTACAACTTCCTGCTTGATTGTGAAGTAGTCTGTCTGCAAGGCGTCCATCTGCACTGGGTCCCGGAGGAGGACGGACGGGTAGTCATTCTCATATTTGAGGGACAGGAGCTCTTCTGAACTGATTGGATGGAGGGTCTGGTAAGACTCTGTGATGAAACTGGGCTCTGAGAACTCTGAGGGAGGAACACACTGAGCATGCTCAATACCATAACCTGCAAGCAGAATGAACGGTACAAATTAAAGGACCAACTGAGAACGGACCAAAATGGGGGAGAAGGAAGCAGTTACTATGGAGAAGGTTCCTCAGGGGATGTACTCAGAAAGGTCAGAGCAGCTGATGCAGGGCTGCCCTTGTCTCAGGAAAGATTATTATCACGGCTTTTTTTTGAGTGGGGAAAGAAGGTGCCGGTACTCTCAAGAAACAAATGAAATTTTCAGTTCGTATACTGAAAACTCATGAACTTTTAAACATTTTTTTTAAAAAAATTGTTGTAGAGGTTCCGGAACTCTGTTCCGGCATGTCCCCCCCCCCCAAAAAAAGCCCTGATTATTATGACCAGAAGGAGCAACACTTCACTGGTCAATGTGCCTAGGCCCCAACCCTAACTGTCATCTCTTTGTTGAATTTTGACCGGGGTGGGGGAGGAATGCTACAAACCTCAAATATTCCACTGAGTCCATGATATCTGACCATGCCAAAAGAACTTCAGCTTCAATGCCCCCCTTTCTATTCTATATTTATTAGCCCCTCTTAAGGATTTCACAGTTTTGTCCCTTTACACTGTGAAGTAATCCCATGAGGAAAATGTTTTGATCCACCTAGTTTAATTCATTTATTAAAAGCATTTTAGTAAACTACAGTGGTGACTTCTAGTTAACTGGGCAACACATTCATTTATTATATATTTATATCCCACCTCTTCCCCGTGTTCAAGGAGGTTCATTATTTTTAACACCACTGTTTTAAAATAATGATCAATTACAGCATGGTGTAGTGGCTACAGTGTTTGATTAGGATCCTAGGGAGACCTGGGTTCAAATCCCCACTTTGACCATGGAAGCTCACCAGGTGTCCTTGGGCCTGTCACAAACTCTCACCCTAGCCTACCTCACAGGGCTGTTGTGAGAAAATGGACAAAGGGAGAATGATGTTCTAAGCTGCTTTGAGTCCCAATTGGGGAGGGAAGTGGGATATAAATAAATAAAGTCACCGAGATGCCTCTTAGAAGTGGCATTCCCATCCTTCAATAGGAAATAGGAGGGAATGCCCCTTTGGTGCCTAATTCAGCATATACATGCATCATCTAAGATGATGTCTTTTTCTTTAAAACAGTCATTTTATTGAACTGGCAAAAGATTGCACAGGAATCAAGGGTCAGCTAAAAGCCATACAATGTGATCAATCATTATTCCTTTAGTTGGGTGGGTGACAACCCGAGAAATGGTTTGTTCTCTTTGTACAGAAGGGTGAGAGCTCGCCAAAGGCATTCAGGAATTCATGGCCGATGTCCAGTTCTCAAGTTATGGCTGACCCCCTGTGGGTCACGTAGCCACTTACAAATTTCAAGTGGGAGGCCTGCTATTAATGTGGCAACTCTACAATACAACTACAAATGCTTCCTGACCGTGAGCATGTTTGCCCTGAATGGGAGTAAAGTTTTCAGATAGCACTTGGAGCCAAGCTTCGCAAGCCCCAAGTTCACATTCCAACATTCGGTCCCTGTGGACAGACTGCATGGCTCTCTAGTTTCCAGCGTTCTGTCCAGATGCAAAACATATCTTGCCTTCAACCGGCTGGGCATTAAACTCTGCCAACGGGTCTAAAGGAAAACAAATGTAGACTTACTAATGAAGTAATCTGATGTGTAGCGGGATTCTGGATAGGCGGGGTTCATGCCGTTCGTTGGGTATGGCTTTGCCTCCTCTGTGCCAACGGAAGAAAGAAACGAAAGGGCTCGTTATATGATAATACCCTTACGGTGCTTTTCAGAGCGCAAGGTACTTCACCATTTTCCTCCTCTGTTCTCAGAACAAACTCTGGAGGCAGGCAGACTGAGGGACTGCTACGTACAAGTCAGGTGACTTCACCCTCATGACTCAGGGTCACTTCAAAACACAAATATGCTTTTTGTGTGGACAGCAGTAAGGGCCCAACGAGGCAATATGGCATCCCTGCGAATGATCCATGGACACCCAAGTTTGGCCCTCAGGAACAGCAGGAAAGCTACATATGGTGGTGGTGGAAAGTGCCCTCAAGTCACCACCAACTTATGGCCATCTTGTGAGGTTCTGAGGCAAAAGACAAACAGAGGTGGTTTGCCATTGCCTGCCTCTGTGTATCAACTCTGTTCTTCCTTGGTGATCTCCCAACCATGTACTTTGCTTCCTAGATCTGATGAGACCAGGCTAGTCTAGCCCACCTGGGGCAGGGCGACTAATTCAGCAGGGCTCCTAAATCCTCATTTCCCAAGTTTGTCACAGGGACCCTTAAAATCTGCTTGTTCAAATTCAACGAGAAGGACCTTTCCGTAGCGTAAGTGCCATTTTGTACAGAAACCAAAAGCCCAACAATACATAGTTTCATCCCCGTCCCTTTCAGCTAATGCAAAATATTTTGGTCAGAAGTGACTCAGCTCACCACAGGCTAGGTTAACAGGGACAAAAATGGCAGCAGAGGGAGGGGAGGGGCTCATCACCTTCACGTATCTGGCTATTTTCAACTTTTCTTTGAAAAAAAATTTCTTCCCAAAATAAATCCCGCTTCCCGGCTGTCAGCCATGCCCTCCGTTTGACTGCAAACCTTAGTGGATAGCTGCTGAATGCAACCCGATCCCCACCCCTTCCCTGTGGTCATCCACGCTGCACTTTGGCAGACCTCATGATTGGGGAGGGGGAGGAGCAGGACACAGAGATTCCAGCTTTCTCCGTTCACACAAGACTTGGCTTTGTCGATGTGTGTGTGTGTCTGTGTGTGTTTATTTCCCTTTCTGTAGTCCCTCGGAGAAGCCAACATTTAGGTACTTTGAATGAACCTGACTTCAGCAGAAATAAAAGCTGCAGCCATTTTGTTTCCAACTGACCTCTCCACGAAGGAAATACAGGAAGGAAAGTTGCAGGAGGAGAAAGGGGCTTCCGCTGAAACCAGGAAGTAGCATCTCCACGGGAAACTTCCAAGAGCATCCTAGCTCAGTTCAGTTTAGTTCGATACAAAATCAGCTTAAAACCTTGCCACGTACAATACTAGGATCAGCAAATAAATTTAAAGGTGTCATTATATCTTCAAGACCGCCTCTCCCCATGTGAGCCCCAGGAGGGCACTGTGATCTTCGAATCAACATCTGCTGACGGTCCCTGGCCCTAGGGATATCCGACTTGCCTCAACTAGGGCCAGGGTTTTTTCGGCTCTGGCCCCTGCCTGGTGGAATGAGCTCCCGTCAGAAACTAGGGCCCTGCGAGAGCTTTTACAGTTCCGCAGGGCCTGTAAGATGGAGCTCTTGCGCCAGGCCCTCAGCTGAGGCAGCGGGTATCCAGTTCAATCTGTCCTCCCCCCGCCTCCCCCCCAGTGAGTTGCTCTTCTGTGTCTGTTGAGGTATTATTAAAGTATGAGTGTTGTATTTATTTTTTAATTGTATTTTGTTATTCTGTTTTTATGACGTAAATCTGCACTGAGCAGATTATTTATAGGTTAGAACCCGCCTTGAGCCTGCTTTGCAGGGATGGTGGGATATAAACTGAAATAAATAAATAAATAGTCCACCCTTATTTAAGGACATAACAATCTGCTTATGTAGGCTGCACACCCTCATACAAAATTCTGTGACTCTGCGAGTGATTTCTGAAGAAAGATCGGAAAGAAGCAGGGAGATGTAGAACTGCTCTGATCTTCCTGCGGAGTTTACTAACACTGGCATGGTATATTGTAAGCGAATGCCACTATAAGTAGGAGCAGTGCAATAATATATGCTATTACAGTCACAACCTTTCCCATTTGGCAGGGACACACCCATTGTGTATGAGGAATACAGAGGTACCTGCCTTCCAGAAAGGCTGAGGGCAGAGCATTGAAGCATGCCAAAGTAAATATTCTTCAGTATTTAGGGACTTCAAGTACTGTTATATAATCTGTCGGCAAGGAAGGGTTTTTGGAAAGGTATGTTACTGTAGGATGCCGCTGCAAGCCGCTGCAAGCAAGTAGGATGCCGTCAGACTGAAGGGCCAGGTCCATTGCTTAAGTATTTCTTTGGCTTTCTGAAAGCCTAGATGTAACAAGGCTGAAGGGGCGAAACCGTACTCTTGCACTTTTTCTTTCGCAGTTCTCAGCCAATATGAGCGATGGTTATCTCTAGGATTAAGAGGGGTAAGTCCCTGGGAGTTACCGTTTAATTTTAACCAGTATGTGGTTATTTGAACCCACACGTGTGCCTCGAGTGAAACCATCCCTGCCTCCACCTTGAGGAGCGCGTTTGGTATACATCAAGGGACTCTGAATATTGATTGCAAAAACTTGGGATTGCACTGCTTCCAAAGGGTAAAGATCTTTGTAAAGACGAAGCTGGGAGCCATACATTAGTTGGGCAATCACCTTCCCCTAAAAAACCTTGCTTGCTGCAGGTATATAGGAAGTCCCTTTTCTTACAAAAAGAATCTCAGAATGGCTGAGGTTGTTCTATGGGCATTCACCGCCATAGGCAATACTTGGGCCAAGAGCATCCCAATGGCTCCTTAGCTAGGGCCTAACTTGCATCACAGGCCCAGGCAGGCAGCAAAAGCAGCTGGTTCCCTGAGTTTCTGGTGGCTGGAGGGATTCCTTTGGTTGTGGAAGTCAATGATGCATGCTGGGTCAAGACCCTGGGGGCTTTTGAGCTCTGTACCAAATGAAACCCTGACCTGGATGGTCCAGGCTAGCCCAATCTTGTCAGATCTCAGAATCTAAGCAGCTATCGTCCTGGAGACCACCAAGGAAGTCCAGGGTCGCTATGCAGAGGCAGGCAATAGCCAACAACCTCTGTTCCTCCCTTGCCTTGAAAGCCCCTTGAGGGGTCACCAGAAATCAGCTGTGACTTAATGGCACTTTTCACCACTTTCATAAAATGGTACCCAGACTACTGATTCAGCGCTCAAGTATACACACTGAACATTCAGGTGCCCATGGAATCGCAGTCCCAATGTCCTAGGCATATCGTTTTTCCTTTGGCTAAAAATCAGTCGCCAATACCGATGAGAAAGAAATGTTTGAAACACCCCATGTATACCACTGCCAGCCAAGCAGAAGCAAGCTGGCTTCCCACAGCTGAACGTGTTTACCTTCAGAAAGCCACAGGTGGCGGTAAAATAGTATATGCCTGACAGTGGCTTTCTGGGAAGGAACAAAATGGCTTCCTCCCTTTTCTGCCCCTCCAAACAGCATAATAAGGCTCTGTCTTCACATACTACAGTAGCCTACAAAAGGGTTAGCGAACACCTCAGCGGACAGACTCTGTTTACAGTTCGTTTGGCGTGTCCTCATGTAATTGTCTGGACTTGAGTTTGGCTCTGTTTCTCAAAATTCGTCAGTGTGACTCAGGAATAGCTGAAGTCTTCTCATCCTTTTTGTGAAAGGAAACTCAAGTGACATCCACGTTCTCGCACATCAAAATGCTTCCAGCGCATCCACACAAAACAGCAGTTGCTAAATGTGGTACCACAGATGCATATGCACCATCAACCCAGTAAGAACCCCCGCCCCAATATTATCATAGTTAGGTCTTTTTGATTGATGCTTCTGGGTACTCATTATGACTTCCGCTTCTAACTTAGATGATCTCTGGGGAAGAGTTATGCACATACCCTTGCCAGGGCCCTGATCCACATCACCTGTTCTGCAGCCACATGACAGGCTGCTGAATCAAACCACGAGAGATTCCCAGCATTGCAACAGCTCTCAAGTTAATTGCCAGGTGATTTGGAAGGGAGGTGTACAGAGCTAAGCTCTGAATACCAGACATGCAAACAACTTTTTTTGTAGCCTAGACATCATAAATTACCTTTCTGCAGGATCTCCAGATGTTCCCAGAGAATATCTCCTACAAAGTCTGGTGCTAGTTCAATGAAGCAGTCCTTGCCCAGCCCACACAAGGCAGCTCCGTTCATACAGAACTTCTGGAAGTCCACGCCCTTCAGGCTGAACTCGTTCACTGCCCACATCACCCAGTCCCGTACGTGAGTCTCTGTCCATTGCTGAGGATCTGCACCAAGGAAGCACAGAACACAGAATTTAAAAGGTAGCCATTGCCTTTCCCATTGAGTTCCACAGAATCCCCCTTGACAAGGCTGGACAAAATGATCTGTTACCCCATGTGTGCATTTTGCCGGGCAGAAGAAATCCCCACTCCCCCCCCCCAAGGTTACACCGTAAAATCTGAAATAAAGCAGATGCCAAAGGGAGCAGAGGGAGATGGAGGCAGCAGCAAAGAGGGGAAGAATATGCATTCATTCCAGCTGCCATGGGGTGGATCTAAGTTGTAGGAGAAGGGAGGGACGAAGAAGAAGAAGAAGAGGAAGAGGAAGAGGAAGAGGAAGAAGAAGAAGAAGAAGAAGAAGAAGAAGAAGAAGAAGAAGAAGAAGAGGAGGAGGAGGAGGAGGTTGGATTTATACCCTGCCCTTCACTTGGAGTCTCAGAGCGGCTTAAAAACTCCTTTCCCTTCCCCTCCCCACAAAAGACACCCTGTGAGGTGGGTGGGGCTGAGAGAACTCTGACACAGACTGCTCTTTTTCAAGGACAGCTGTGCCAGAGCTTGTGACTGACCCAAGGTCACATCAGCAGGTGCAAGTGGAGGAGTGGGGAATCAAACCCGGTTCTCCCAGATTAGAGTCCGCAAACTTAACCACAACACCAGTGAAAGAGGAGCAGCTGGGTGGGTGTTCTGGGAGGCAATGCCAGGAATCGGGAAGCAGCAAGGGAGAATGGGTGGGGGTCATTTGAGGGGGCAGGAGACCTTTAAATGGCCAAGGGTGGTGGGAGCATCAAGGCCTTGACCAGAGCAGTATGGGGTGTGAGAGCAGGGGTGAAGGGGGACAAGGCCTTGGAGGGCTTTGAAAATAAGGACGAAGAGTTGGTGCTGGAAGGAAGGCAGTGTTGGGATTTCACACGGCGAGAAAATGATTGCTTTGATGGATGGGAGCAGCATGGACGGAGTGTGACAGTAGAATGAGGCTGCACTATCCCAGGTGAGAGGTCATTTGAGCATGAACCATATATATATATATATATATATTTTTGCAGAGATGGGCAGAAAGATAGAGCTGTGATTTTGCAGTGTTGTATGAGGGGGCGGGAAACATGATTGGTGATAGGAGAAGCAAGAGAGAGAGAAGAGAGAAAGGTAAAGCCAAGGCTTTGTTCCTGTCCTATGGAGCAGATGATGACATCCTTCAGTATAGAAAGTATACAGTGAGAAGAACACATTAAAAGATAGACTGAAAAGATTCAGTCTTGGACCTGTTGGAAAGTATGCATTCATAGGCTGAAAACACCTTCCTTCAGCCTAAGGAGCCTTTCTCCATCTTAAATGGTTCTTCCTTTAATGGCTTTAAACTTGGCTCAGTGAAGAGACAGGATCCACGCTAGTGTTCCCTCTAAGCTGAGTTAGTGTGAGCTAGCTCACCATTTTTTAGCCTCCGGCTCATGCATTTTTGTCTTAGCTCAGGAAGGACAGCTTCAGAGCAAACTGATTTATGCAGTAGCTAAATCACTTGCTCACAACTTTAATGCTAGTAGCTCACGAAGTAGAATTTTTGCTCACAAGACTCCGCAGCCTAGAGGGAACATTGCATTTGAGACAGAGGAGGCATCCACGTAGAAACATCAATTGGAGAGGCGGCATTGGATGAATCAGGGAAGTTCGGGGGCAGAAAGGTGGGGGTGGGAGAGACCAGCACAGAGGTGAGACTGAAAGTCGTGGAGTCTGATGAGGTCACAGCATGCATGAAGGGAACTGAAGATGGCCCGTGTTAAATTAAACTCAGAGGTCCCACGTCTTTCTTACCTGTAAACCATTCTCTCTCCTCCGCCAACATTTACAAAGAGAAGATGTGACACACAAACCCACCCCACACCTGTAGACCACATCCTGTCTTTAATCCTGCACTTTACCAGCATAAGAAGCCATTAAAACAACTCGATACATTTCACGGAGAATCAGTCTGTTGCCAGATATGAGCCGGGGTTGCTAGAAGTAGAATCGCCATGTTCATAGGGATGCTTGGTACCACTATCAGGGGCTATCACAATTTCTCCCTCTCCCAGAACGTCTGACTAACCACTCTTGGAGACTGAATGCTGGGTTAAACAAGCCTTTGGCACAACACTGTGAGGCAATCCCTGCACTCTTACCAGTTGCTCATCTCTCCACAGTTAGGAACACATTCTTAACAATATATGCATGCACCATATTGAAAAGTACATGGAAGGTCTTTCTTGATGGCCATGAAAAAGCCCAATCCAGAACAGGTTTTTTAAAGCACTGTAGAGGTCCTTACTACTAAGGATGGTTGTTGGTCAAAGTAGGATGTAGTCTAACAGGTGAGATGGAACAAAGAGATCTTTTCCTTTATAACAGAAGGCGCACTCCAGAGCAATTGCCCTATTAGTGCTGCATCTCTATCTCTTTGCTCCCTGTAAGTCAAGTTCTGTAACTGAACATATGACATTCCTTTACATCAACTAAGACCACTGGTCTATCTAGTTCAGTATTGCCTACTCTGACTGCCAGCATCTCTATTGAACCTGCATGCAAAATAAGCGCCTTCCCACTGAGCTACGAGTCCTCCATTTCACAAATGATGCCCGCAAAGTTGTTGAAACAGTGGTTTCGAAATTGCTAGAACACATTCAACCAAAATACCCCATTTGTGGCTTCCTTGTATGCAGCGTTACAGATTGGTGTATAAAATACCTTTGGGAATTCCCAAGCGTTGCTGTTCTTTTGTGAAGCCGCTGAAGGTGGCTTTTAACGCCTGTGACATCATCTCTTTGCTGCTCGGAGTTAACAAAGGCACATCTGCACATTCCATATCTGAAAGAGGTAAGAACAGACACATAAATAGGCAAAGTTGAATGGATCAAGGAGTTCAGAAAACCAGGATGGTAGCTGGGATGGTGAGAATCATGGACCAGTTGCCAAATCTTGGGTAACTATGGTGAGTTATCACTTGAAGGTCCCACCATTCTCTTTCTCTACTTAAATGCTAGCCTATGGGCAATTTTAAATTTGAAGTCATTTCACTGAATCAGCAAACATGCAAGGCCTTCTGCCTGGTAAAATGTAGGCAACTAAGCAGGGGGTTGAAAGAGATCATCTTCAGAATGCGATTTTTGTTTTGCAAGTCTTTGGTTCTGTAAAACAAGATAGGCTCCCTCCCTTTATTTTGCCAGGATATTGCTGCCATACTAATGCAATTCGCCTGATCTACCTATGTTCTTATCCAATGGTTTTGGGAAGCAAAGTAATGGCCGTAGGATACTATACATTTTCTCCATCTAGGCTTGGTAACCAGCCATGAATGAAACAGTCTGGCTATAGATATATATTGGTTTGGCATTGGCCTCCACTAGGATCACCACCCTTCAGGTTGTGCCTGGAGATCTCCTGGAATTACAGTGATCTCCAGACTTCAGAGATCAGTTCCCCTGGAGGAAAGGATGCTTCAGAGGGTGCACCCCATGGCATCACATCCTACTGAAGTCCCTTCCCTCCTCAAACCCCACCACCCCCAAGCTCTATCCTAAACCTCCGAGAATTTCCAAAGCAGAAGTGGGCAACCCTATCCCCCGTCCACAAAGGCATTCATGTCTAATCCTGACAAAAACCACGGGGCTCTGCTCCTTGAGCCATTCTGGGATCTGCCCCCAGAGGCCAGAATTTTTTATTTCAAGAACTATATCTCCACAATCTCCCACTGGTCTACTTCAGGGAATCATTCACATATTTTCAAATGCTTTCAGTGCTTTTAAGATACAATTGTCTGGGCCTCAGTCTGAGCACTCCATAGAGGACAAAGAAGAAGAATTCATCAGCAGCTGCATGTAACTTAGGGTTGCCAACCTCCAGGTGGTGGCTGGAGAGCTCCTGGAATTACAACTGATGTCCATGTGTCAGAGATCAATTCAGCTGGAGAAAATGGCCACTTTGGAAGATGGACTCTATGGCATTATACCCCACTGAAGCCCCTCCCCTCCTCAAACCCTGTCCTCCCATAGGCTCCACCCCCAAAATTTCCAGGTATTTCCCAACCTGGAGCTGGCAACCCTAACTAGATGAGGGTGTGTTGGATGTTACAAATTTAAACACTTCTATTTCAGTATTTACTGGGTTAATACTGTTTACTAAATCACATGTTTGTTTTATAACCAATGTGCTTAGAAAGCTAGAAAGCCCGCCAACTTCAGATCTAGTTTGTTGTTCTGATTGGAGAATAGAGTGGCTAGTATTTAGCATTTTATGACTCTTTGTCCTGAGCAAGAAGAAGCTCCAGTCTCGTCCTGACTCCATGAGGATATAGTCTCCATTAGACTTCTGCAATGTAAGTTAGACCTAAGATGTTCTGTCTAGCAGTGAGGATGTAGAAATATAGCTTTTTGTTATTTTCCATCCCATATACCTTTTCCCATGTTAGGTTGTAGTAAACTTTTTATATTTTAAAACACACCATGGACTCTGACTCTTTAATACTCTGCTGATTAACTTTAAGAAATTAAAATACCAAATATCCAACAGGGTGGAATAGGAAAGGGGATTAATAAGTGTGCAAAGGTGCAATGCTGAATATATCAAGATTAAATTTAAAAGAGTTATAATGTTGGCCTCCCACAATGATATTTCTGGGCTCGGTCCCCCCAAGATTCCCCATTTCAGTGCACCATTTCAACCTAATTTAAACATTACTTAAATAAATACCCTACTATTTTACATAGGTACTGAGAAAAATCTAAGCTTTCTAAAGGCATAATCAAACAAGCCACTTGCTTGTGCATGTGTGTAAACTAATTGATAACCAAGGTTGGCAGGATACATTCATAATATGAATAGCAAGGATTGGCAGTGTTGAAGTACTCACTAGAACAGAGTCCATTAAAGTAAACAGGAATCTCATGGCACCTTAAAGAATAACAAGATTGTATTCCAGCATCAACTTTCATGGGCTCGAGCCCACGTACATGCGACAAAGTGGGCGCTAGGCGACAAAAATCTATCCAGGAATAAAATCTTGTTATTCTTTAAAGCGCCACAAAACTCCAGTTTATTTTTGCTGCTTCAGAACAACATAGGGAGCCGGGACCCCTTTGGAATTATTGAAGCTGCACACAGATGCGGTCAGGATTTACTTATATCCATTCAGTAAAAGCTTAAAGAGTTTGACTCTTCTCTTTTCCCAGAGAGAATCAGGAAGAGTTGAGTAGCTTGTACAGCCTGGGCTATTGGAGAATAAGTAACAGATTCCAAACACAATTTAAAGAACAGTCATTTGGAGAGCTGGAAGGTTTTCATTAACCGGGCTTTGGAGAAATAAACACATGGGGGGGTATCTCTGCAATCCATCATCCCCTTTGAGATAACACCTGGAGAAAGTGGGCTGCTACACCTTTCCCCTACTTTAAGCGGCTTGTTGTCTTTTGATGATTGACTCAGTGTGCTCGGAAGTTATAAGAGACCACCTAGAAGCCGCTCAGTCACTTTGGCAACCTGGTTAGGGGGCAACGGGTGGCTCTCTGGCTATGGAAGAGTGACTCAGATGCAGCAGAGGGGAGCGGGAGAAGGAATCCAGCCCCCGTTCCCATGTTTAACCATCCTTAAACAGAAATGCACACGGGCAAAGCAGATTAGGGTTTCCAGCCTCTAGGTGGGACCTGGAGATCTCCCGGAATTACAACGAATCTCCAGATAACAGAAATCAATCCCGCTGGAGAAAATGGCTGCTTTGGAGGGTGAACGGTGTGGCATTATATCCCGATAGGATCCCTCCCCCCCCAAAAAAAAACCCCTCTCCCCTAATCCCTCTCTCCTAACCAGCCTCCCCCCCCCAATTTCAACAGATTTCCCCACCCAGAGTTAGCAACCCTAACCTTAAGCAATGCACACATTTGCTATTTATTTGAGTCTATGGACACTTCCTCAGGAGCACATCCCAGTGAATTCAATTGGACTTCCCAGCAAATGCACAAAAGGGATTACAACCCAAGAAACTTAACTATAGCCACAATGGTAGAATGTTACGAGCGTCGCTGCCTGCTTTTGCCTAGACTGCCCCTATTAACAGGGGTCTGCTTTCGGAATCTGAATCCTCTCCGCCTGGATCTGTTTTTCCTCTCTGATCTGTTTCATCCCCCAATTCTATCAGCCTGGTCTTACTTTTTAGGTCGAGCAACCCATCCCCATAAAGGAGAAGCGAGACTGCACTTGCAACGTTCTGCTGAGACCAAAGAGCTTTTTGCAGGTGCACAGTTCTTCTGCAGAACCTAATAAATCTATTCAAATTAAAACATATAAATGGCACAGAAGTAAATGGGGGCGGGCCCTGACCTGGATGGCCCAAGCGAAACCGATTTAATCAGATCTCGGAAGCTCAGCAAGGTCAGCCCTGGTTTGTACTGGGATGGGAAGCCACCAAGTCCAGGGTCGCTCTGCAGAGGAGGCAACGGCTAACCACCTCCGCTGATAACGCTTGCCTCGAGGACCCTGTGAGGTCACCATCAGTCGGTTTGTGACTTGACAGCTCTTTCCACCACCGCCAATTGGGGATGAGTCACACAATCCTATGCATGTCTAATGAGGTTTACCAAGTAAACAAGCAGATTGGGGTCCTCTGAGATGCAGCACCCGGGGGGGTCTTGCAACCTGAGCCCAGCCATGTTTACTTAGAAGTAAACCCCAATGATTTCAGTGGGATTTGCTTCCAAGTCGGTAAATTTTGGGTCATAGTGCTACGTGGTGGTGGGGGCATGGCCTTTAACAAGCATGATGGAATTTAATCTGAAGGGAAGCCATATTAAAACATCGCTGCTAGTTTCACCAGCCTGTATACAACACCCAGTCCTTGTAGTTATGCCAATTCGGCTATGTGTGAATAACCCTGCATTTTATAAAAACCCACTTGGCAGTCCACCAAATGCACATTTTAAATATCAAGGGATCGCTGTCTTGAACCCAGGACACTTCTCAAGGTTTTCAGCATAGAGGTTCAAAGTATTCCAATGATGACAGATTTTAAAGAGAACAAAGCTTGAGTCCACTGGCACATATAAGACCAAATAAGTTTACTTCTGGGTATACGTTTTCGTGTGCATGCACACTTCTTCAGATAAATTGAGAGAGAATTCTTCAAACCTTACATATAGGTAGAGAGAGGGTGGGGGTGGGGTTAGTTGCCAGGAAGGGAAAGCAGGGGTCATTTCACAGAAAAAGAGGTGCAGGAGCTCATTAGCATAACCTATTAGCATAACTTATTTGCATATGCCACACCCCCTGACATCACCGGAAGTGGGTTAGAAGGCAACACCCACCACTCAGGCTCCACTGGACTTGTTTGGATTGCTAGCTATTGGGAGGGGTGGGGGACATGCAGATCTGTCCTCGCAGAGGAGGGAGAGCTTGTACCTGAAGGCGGGCTGGGGGGGAGAGCTCTGCAACTTACCTGGCTACTTCTTGCTCTGACTGAGGGCTGCTGGGAGCAGGGGGTGGGGCTTGTTGCATGTGCCCGCCCCCTGGGCTCCTTACTCCCGGAGCTCCGCTCCTGTGCACTCCTGCAGGAAATGACCCCTGAGGGAAAGTATAACTGGCACAGGGAAGCAAGTATGCATTGGCATACCATAGCATCAAATGGGAATACCAGAGCTCAAGGGCATCCAGTGAAGCTGATGGACAGTAGGTCCGAGATGGACAAAAGGAAATCTGTCTTTACAGAGAGAGTGACTAACATGTGGAATTTGCCGGCAGAGAATGTAGTGATGGCCACATCTTTAAAAGGGGATTAGATAGATCCATGGAAGATAAGTCTATCGATGGTAGGGTTGCCAAAT